ACACACACACACACAGACACAGACACAGACACAGACACACACAAACACACACACACACATTCACACAGTTCCGTGGCTGGGGTTACCTGGGGTTGAGCTCATTAACGTTGGGGCCACTCAAATTAGCATTGATAACAGTTGGGGGTGGGGGGGGGGCTGGAATTCAAGAGTAATGAAAGTGACCTTTGACCTTTACCCCCCCACACACACACACAAACACTCACACACACACGCACACACACACACACACACACACACACACACACACACACTCACACTCACACTCACACACACACACACACACACGACTAGGAAGTGTTTCAAACATTTAGTTTAGTTCTTAACCCTCAACAAGAGTAAAACTACCAACAAACTTTAACAGGAACAAAATGACTGTAAACTAAAGTGTAGTTACATCGAGCTCGTAGTCTGGCACTTTACATTTCTCATAATAATAATAATAATAATAAAATCAATGAGATAATTCCATTGGTCAACATTACGTCTGATGTTGAAAATCTAGAGTGAGAGGCAGAAATCAGGGAAGTTTATCATGATACAGCCTGAGTACGACGAGAAGACCTCAGACAGGGGGCGCTGTTCTGAGGGCTGGGGGTTTAACCTGTGTCTAGTTCTTCCAGTCAGGTGGAGGAGAAGGTTGAGAAGGACGTCTGCCTGACAAACAGCAATGAATGATGGACGTTGTGGAGGAAACAGTGTGGTAGCAATCAGACCAAGGACAGAGGAGGCTGTCGACTCATAAGAAACAAAATACCATCAGAAGACAAATGTGCCGCTGGAGCAAAAACAATCCAATCACCTCGCTCCCTGACCCCAGACATCAGCTGAAAGAGCTGTGATTGGTTTACTACCAAAATGAGCAGGTTCTTCCTGTGTGGAACCTGAGAGCCACCAATTAACTTAATCACAACAGTTAACTCTGTCACTTGTAAGAAAAAGAAAACATAAAGGCTGGGAAAGTTGGAGGATTGTGGGAAATGGCCGTGGGCCCTAGCAGGTTAGGAGTGCAAGGCTCTGTGTGATGGTGTGCCACTTCACATCATCCAGCTTCTATCTTGAGCCGTTTTCATACATGACCTAACGTAGAGTTACGCAGACGAAACCCAGAAAATCTAGTGTTTTTTTCACTATTTTCTTGACATTTGATGCAGCACAAAATAATCAGCAGTTAATTTCTTGAGATTGTCTAATTAAACAGGTTCTAGCTGTGATGAATAAATGAGGGTGAAACCAGCTGAAGGTTTTGACATAGAGTGGATTGATATCTGTCTCCGTCCAATGTTAACTTACGCTCTGTGGGGAGGAGAGGCAGACGGGAGCGACCAGCAGCAGGACAAAGGTCAGGGCCTGGAACAGAGTCAGTTTCCTGGAGACACGGAGACAAACAACCACCGTCAGTCGGCTGGTGACATCAGCCTGGTCCTTTTTATACATTGAATAAATAAAACACAAATACAGAAGTGTTGCAGCAGAGGAGTTTGACACGTAGAAAGAAACGACACCAGAGAAAACTGAAAGAAAAGATAATAGTCCCCCGCTCTCTCTCGCTCTCTCTCGCTCTCTCTCGCTCTCTCTCGCTCTCTCTCATTGCAGATATCTCTGACTCCAGTAACTCATTATTATATGAATTGTGACTGTTATCATTAATAATATTAATAACTTCTTTACACTGTTATTGTTTACATTTTAACCAGATCTGATTCTGATGGTGCTCAAGTGTTCCCAGTCTCTCTCACCTCTCTCTCCCCCTCCTCACTATCTCTCTCTCTTCTAACCCTAACCCTAACCCTAACCCCAACCCTAACCCTAACCCTAAT